CCCCCCCCCCCCGCCCAAGGCTGGGGGCTCTTTGTAGACAGGTCAGTAGCCTGCCTCTCATCTGTGGCCAGAACCCAGCAGGAGGCCAGGTGATAGGCATGGGGGCCGGCTCCTCCCTCCCCTCTGTGCCCTGGCTTCCTGGAATCATAGCCTGGGCACCCCCCTCCACCTGCGCCTCTCACCACTCAGCGCTTCCTGCCTGGCTTTCGTAGGCCTCCGCCCCCTAGGCTTAGTGATGGGAGCATCGGTGTGTCATCGCCCGGTGGTGGAAAATGTCTCTGCGCAAGTCAGCCAAGGGGATGTCCCGGGGCTACCACAGGGGCCAGGCCTGGGGGCTGGCAGTGAGCTCAGGTTTAATCAGCACCCCTGCCCCCTCTACCAAGTGCACTGTGTGGCCAGGGACGTGGCACAATCCTCTTGGGGCTCCGAAACAGGACTCAGAGGCGCTGCCATTCCTGTCTTGTTAGGTCACTGAGAGATTGCATGAGACACTAGATATGCGTACATACTTCAAAAGGCATAGAGAGCTGGGCCTGGGTGAATGCTGAATTTGCCTGGGTTCAACTCCAAGCTCCACTGTGTTCTACCTGTGTGATTGAGGGCAAGTCTCTCAGCCACGCTGAGCCTTCATCTCATCTGTAACTTGGGGTAAGAGTGGTACTTCCCGTTTGTATACCTAACCCTGAATTGTACCCCACATCTTTAAGATAAAATATAAAAAAAATTTTTTTAAATGCCTCCCCATGGCATTTTTGTAAGGATCCGGCAGGTTAATAACATAATGTGCTTAGAACAGAGTCTGATGGCCCTCGGTGCTCAATAAATGCAGTTCTTGAAGAGACCCTGGAGGACTCAGAATGTTCTACCCCGGCCCTCGCAGATTCTGGCCTCCACAGCTGTCCCTCCCCGACTGCCTGTTGAGAAAAATCCAAATTGCCAAACAGCAGTTGCCAATCTGCAAGAACGGTTCCCTTCTCTTCCCCAAACCATCCTCAACCAGCTGCTTCCAAAACTAGCTCAACTCCCGCCGAGCCCCCACAAACACCCCGCCCTCCTTCACAAGTCAGAAGGCTCCTTCAGTCTTCTTGTGCCTGGCATTTCCCAGTAAAGCCTTGTGCTGATGGGGCTCTGGCTGATTTTCTTCCAAATATGTTAATATTGCCCCTATATCTCCAGAATCTAGCCCAAGGCTTGGCTCATAATACAGATGGTTATAACAGAGGTAGCCCAGGAGGGGAACAGTGGGAAGAAATAATCAACCCTGCTTGGGGAAAATCAGAGGGCCTCCCAGAAGTGGAGATGCTTGAGTGGGGTACTGAGGGATGTGGAGGAGTCTGAAGGTAGATTGTTTGGACTCCCCAGCCCCTAGCTCCAGCCTCCAACTCTTAAAGTGAAATATGTATAGTCCTGGCCTCAGGTCACATTCCATGCAGCACCTGGAACCGCAGAGTATCTGAGTCAGGAGAGCACTTAGAAGTCACCCAGTCTGACTGCCCAATTCACACATGGAACAACTGAGGCATGCAAGCAGATGGGACCTTCCCAGAGTCCCCCAAGTCATGGACTATCCCGCGAAGGGCCTCAGCCATTATCCTGAAGACCACAGGGGGTCGCTGGGGGTTTCGGCAGGGATGTGGGATGGCCAGATGTGACCCTGGCAAGACCCGCCTGACAGGGTTCAGAGGTGGAAGAGTTAAGGGGCAAAGACAGATGGACCCAAGGGGAGGCTGAGCAGGGGTCCGAGTGACAGGTGATGGCTTCAGGGCTGTGGCACAGGCATCCCAAGGGTAGGGATGCTGGTCCTGCAGGACACTAGGCCAGTGGGGAGGGTAGAGGTGGAGGAGGGAGGAGCTCAGCCAGGGGGAGAAAGGAGGAGGCCAGGGCAAGTTCACGCCGGCCTGACCAGCAGCAGTGCCCGCAGCCGCGCTCCCGGCCACTGTTCAGGCCCACCGACCCTCTGAGCCGTCACGTGGCTCTTCTCTTTCTCCCATAGTCACAGTCACGGATGGCGGCACCCTCCTCTCCCCGCCCGCCTTTTTTTCTAAGTTGACTGCCAGGAATCCGAATGGAATTTTGCTAGTTTATTTATTTATTTTCCATCAGTACCATCCCCTCCTATGCAGCCTCCTTGTATACGCAAAAGGCAGAAAGTTCTGGAGCCAAACATACCCGAGTTGGAATCCTGGCTCTACCAACCACCAGCTGCATTTCTGAACCTCCCTGGGCCTCCCTTTCCCAATCATCAAAATAGGGAACCAAACACCTGCCTCTCACTCGTTTCCAGGTGACAAGGGACATGCTTGGGAAGTGCCTGGCACAGTATCTGGAACACAAGTTATGAGTCCCCTCACCCCTTTGACATGTGCGTCTTCATCTGTTTTTTTCGGTTAGTCAGGATGTCAGTGATGAGGAGGGCAGTGGTGGGTTGTTCATCCCAGACCTGGACATGTGGTTTCCACCATAATTTACTTGGGAATTGTGGCCTCTGAGCGTTGCTTGGAAGGGGAGATGGGAGATGGGGGAATTGGGGAGGCAAAGGAACAAACCCAATCCAACGAAAGAGGGAATGTGAGAGGCTGGAAGGCCCGCCCCTTCTCCCTTTTCTCTTATCCCCCAGATCTGCCTGGCTGCTGCCTGCTTTCCGCTCTACACCTGATGGGTCTCCAGGGTCCCCCAGCTGTCACCTGCTCCTCAGCTGGTGCCACTCCTCTCCCCTGCAACCTGACCCAGGTGGCCTGTCTCTTCTTCACCCCTGCCACCTGCAAGCTGCTCCCTCTTTGTTCCCTCTCCCAAGAGCGACACTCTTATCGACCCTGGACATGACACGCGGTGGCTGCTGACCCATTGTTCCATCACCACCTGGCATAAGATGGCTCCTGACTCAGTTCAACACCAGCTCAGGCCTCTCCCAGCACATGGTGGGGCAGCTGGGCCTCCTGGGCTTGCCTGCTCCTAGGCCCCACTCGGCTTTCCAGTCTCCATCATCTCAGCCTCAGTGTTCCCCGTCTGGAAAACCGGAGTCGGGAAAACGTAAGCAGTCCTTTTGTGGGAAGGAACCTGAAGGATGATGTGATCCAGAGGTGTCACCAACTGTCAGCTCTGATCAGTTGGGGGCTGACAAAAGCACAGCATTTCGGCTAAAGCTGCACCCAGGATTTCAGGAAGGAGGGCTGTGATCAGAACGACCTGCCATGCATGGGTGCAATTGATTAGCACTGTCGCCCATGACTGTGGCTTTATGAATGCCAAGAATTGCCATTCATAGTCTGGTTCAACTTTTTTTTCAGGGCACTGGAAAAAGAATTATATATATATATATATGAGAGAGAGAGAGAGAGAGAGAGAGCGGGAGAGAAAAAAAGAGGGAGAGAGAGAGAGGGAGAGGGGGAGAGAGGGAGAGAGACAGAGAGAGAGAGAGAGAGAGAGAAGACAAGTGTGCCATCCTCAAGTGCAGTATTTCTCCAAGCACAGACTTGTGAGGAATGACCATGTGATGATGTTAGATGGTACCTGGACACAGAGTAAGATGAACCTGACTTCTGTTAGTGAATTTTTTTTTTTTTTGAGTTGGAGTCTCGCTCTGTCGCCCAGACTGGAGTGCAATGGCCACTCCCGGCCACCGCAGCCTCGACCTGCTGGGCTCCGGCGATCCTTCCGCCTCAGCCTTCCAAGTAGCTGGAACTACAGGCATGCACTACCATGCCCGGCGAGTTTTCTGATTTATTGTAGAGATGAGGTCTCGCCAAGTTGCCCAGGTGGGTCTCGAACCCACAGGCTCAGGCAATCCACTCACCTCAGCCTCCCAAAGGCGTGGGATTACAGGCTGAGCCACCGAGCCCGGTTATGAATATTCTTTTCTGAATCCTTTTGCTTTATCCCAAGGAGGACTTTCCATTTTGCCAATCTCTCCTTTAAACTATGAGACAACAGATTTCCAGCAGGCACTGAATTTCAGCATTATTTTGTTTTATTGTACTTTGTGCAGTTATTGTTTACTTTGTGCAGTTATCGTTATAGTGCAAATCTTTTTTTTCATTTACGGAGCAACATAAACATTTTTTAAAATAAATGTATTTAAACAAAAAGTGAATTTATTTAAAGAAAAAAATTAGAAAATAATGACAAAGATAGTACACACAGATCATTAAAAGATATATAATACATACATCACAAGTGACTGAGACTTGCAACGTGTAACCCTCCCAAGAACTCTTCAAAATGGAGCCGAGAAATAGCATTTCCATTTGGGGGATCAGGAACTGACTTGCAGAGAGGTTTGGTAGCTTGCCCCAGGAAACAGAGCAAAGGTGAGCACATAGAGCTCAGTTCTGGTGTGCAGCCTTGGACCGAGGAGCCCTTGTGGCCCAGAACATACGACACTGTATGGCAGGAGGTGAGACTAGCGGGTAGGTCATTCAGCTTTTTCCAAGGTAGGAATTCCAGACTCAAGACAACCTCAAGAAAGGGGAGCCTGTTTTGGACATAAAGGAAACAGGAATCCTGACCTGTTGGTCAGTAGCCCCAGGCAGTGTATCAGGAGCCCGGCAACCTCTGCTCATGGGATACAGTCTACCTTTTCCTGGATGCCTTGTCCACATCACCTGCTTCCCTCCCTCCATCAATCTCTCCATCCTTCCCTCCCTCATGAATGCAAATGCCCAAGACAGAGGCGATCTGATTGGCTAGTTCAGGCCCAGCCTCAGATTGGACAGAGCTTCATGTCAAGCCAATTTATAGGCTGCTGGTCAGCCTGTGGGCAGGCTTGTGGTCAGGCACCCAATCAGCTTCGAGCAGGGCCTATAAGGGCAGGCACTGAGCATTTTCGCGTCAGAATTAGCTGAAATTGTCAAAAGTCATTGCAGGGTGATCGCTACCTGGTGCAGAGGAAAGAGAAATGGAGGGGTGGCGGGGGCACTGAGAAGGAAGGGACCATGTTTGGGAAGGAGAGACCTGCGAGGTGAGGGAATGAGCCTCTTGCAGGAGCAGGCATGCCAGCCCTAGTGGGCACAGGACTCGGCCTCTCTGTGGGAAGGCAGTCAGGCACAGGGAGCACAGGTAGGGAATCCAGACAGTTCATTCGTTCATTCAAGCAATATCATGGGATGCTGGGCACTGTGTCAAGGGCAGGGGAAAGACAATGAGGCCCTGCTCCTCGGAGCCGCCCTCCTGGAGGCCAGTGTGCCAGCCTCTGGGCTGTCGTGGAGGGAGGGGCCTGGGAGTGGGCTTCCCTTGGCCGCATCAGGACCACTGCTGGGAAGGATCCAGCAGTTTTCCACTTTGCGGGGGGATTTGTGTCTATACTTGTGCCACAGTGTTGAGGATGCAGTAGCCAAGCGTTCTGAGGTCTAAGAGGTCCCAAGAGAGATGTGGCAGAGCCTCTTTCTCCAGGCACCCTAGGACCCTGACTTGCTTCTTCCAGCACCAACACCAGAAGTTCCGGCACAGTGAGGGATGCAGTGCTTCCCTCCAAGGAACACAGAACTGGCCCTGGTAAGGTTGTCACCTCCACGGAGGTAGAGGATGCAGCAGACCCAGGGAATCACACATGCAAAGGTGTGGGATACAAGGGAGCTCCAAGTGGCTGTGGGGGGGGGGTTGTTGTGAGGGTTCCCAAAAGGGATGTCCCGACAAGGTACTGGAGGGACAAGTGACAGGCGACAGGTGGTGTGCTGAGGGCAGTGGGAGCAGGCGGGGCTTTGACAGGGAGGAGAGCGACCGTGTTTGTTTTGGAAAACACACTCAGGCTGCCCTGCGGAGAGTATGGGAGGGGGCGCGGCTGGGGGCGGGACATCCAGTGACAAGGTGAGTCAGACACTTGGAGAGCAGCAAGGGCTTTTGTCTGCGAGTGGCTGTGGTTGGTTGATGAGTGATGCTTCAGACGGAACTCACGAGACTCCGTGATTGAGGAGGGAGAAGGGGCATCACCCCCACCCCAGCAGTTCCTGTCCTGGGAGGCAGGACCAGGGAGCAGCAGTTGAGGTTTGGAGGTGGAGGGGCTGGGTGTGTGGGGCTGGGTGGGAGCCACCTGCGTGCAGATGTCCAGGGGCCACCTGGACACCGAGTTTGCAACCGCCTCCTCCTACCCCTCGCCGCCTGTCTACGCCAAGTGAATTGGGTCTTGATCCTGAAGTTCTTGGAGGGACAGGTAGGCGTCGGTGTTCAGGGTCAGGCAAGAGTTGAGGGCCCTGCCCTGGCCCTGCCCAGGAGGGCGGGCCCAGGGGAAACTGGCCCCCTCCTTGGGGCTGGGCACCGAGACCTCCTCCCCAGCCTCTCCCAGCTCCGGCTCCAGAGATGACTGGAAGTGCCCTGGGGTGGGAGGCCCCAGAGGCTGGGGGGCCCGGTCTCCAGGGACTCCCTCCTGCCGGGCAGAGGCTAGCCTCTCTTCGGCCCCACTGACCCCAAGGGCAGTGTCTGGGGGGCGCGGGCCACTGAGGAGACTGGGGGAGAAGAGGAGAAAGTCATCCCCAGGGGGGAAGGTGCAGTAGGCATCGTCCTCCCCTGACAGAGGTTGCAGGGGTAGGAGGGGAGATCCCGTGGGCACCCCGGGCCCACCCTCCTCCGGCTCATTCTCTGTGCAGGGGTCGTAGGTGAAGTACACCTGGCAGGCCTCGATCTCCAAGGCATTCGGGAGGTGGAAGAAGAAGTAGCCCTGGTTGGTGAAGCAGCTCGTCTGAGAGTGGCCACCAGTGGAGGCTGGGGCCGAGGCCACCTTGTCCTGCTGCAGCAGGAGCAGCTGTATCGCCTTGTCCCTCTCCAGCACTTCCAGCGGTGAGATCTCAGGCGCCAGCCCAGCAGGGCTGAAGGACGATGAGGGGAAGGGCGAGGAGAGCCACTTCTGCGGGGACAAAGCCAGGGAGGGTGAGTGGGGCCTCCCCGCCATCCCACGCCCTCCTCGAACTCTCAACAGCTCCTAATGCCGCTTCCTCCTCCTTCAGCAGTAGCCCCAGGGCTGCCACCTCCAGGAAGCCCTCCCTGAGTGTACCCCCACACTCCTCCCAACCCACAGGCTCGGGGAGCCTCTGGGCTGTCGTGGAGGGAGGGGCCTGGGAGTGGGCTTCCCAAGTCTCCTCTCCCTCCCAGCACCACCCCCCCACCTCCCTCCACAGAGAGAGGAAACCAGCCACAGAGCACCCCTCAATTGCTCTGGAATCCAGAGGGCTTGGCGAGGAGCAGGGAGACGCAGGTTCTAGCCCCAGCCCTGGCCCTCACTGGCTTGTGACCCGCCTCTCTGAGCCTCAGTTTCCACAACAGTCAGCCACCTCTTTCCCAGCTTCCTCACTGTTTTCTACCAGGTCACCAGGGAGAAGTCAAGTAGGAGAATGGAGCTGGGAACCCCTGGCATGGGGTCAAACGCAGGCTACACAGCAGAGGTGTGGGGACGGCGCCCCTCACAGCGTGTGGTGGGTCCGCCACTGGGGAGCTGGAGAACCCAACAGCCCTCTGTCCTGGGAGCCCTCAGTAGCTGGACTGTGGCCCCAGAGCACAGGGGCCAAGCCCAACAGGCTGTCCTGTGCTCCATGCCTGGCACAGGGCCTGAGGGCCTGACAGCTTCCATCAGACGAACTGACGTACCAGCAGAGAGATGCCAGGTGGGTGCCTGGTGCTGAGCGGCTGTTTCACAGACACGCGTACATGCACACACGTGAACATGCCACTCCGTGAAATCTGCCCTCCCCCAATCCAGGAGTTATGTGACAACAGAAAAGGCCGAGAGGGAGACAGAAAGGACTGAGGATGGCAAAGAGGGTCCCTGGCTAGGAAGAGAGGGAAGCATGGGTCACGTGAGGGGCAGGTGAGGAGGTGCAGAGGGCAGGGCTGGGCAACAGCCCTGAGCATGCGGATAGAGTGGGAGAGGCCAGGCCTGTGGCCAGCGCTGCATGCCAAGGGCTCGCAGCCTGCGGCCAACCACTTCCTGGCCTGAGCTTCCATCCATGGTGTCCTGAGGTGTGAGGCGGGAGACCTCACACCCCCTCCCACAGCCCCCACACTCACGGGCACACTCCTGGATCACCCTGTGGCCCCAGGCTGGGGCCTCTCACTGGTGCAGAGGACAGGGCTCCCTCTTGGCTAGCCCCCACCGCACCGTGCCTCCCCAGGGCCTCCTCGGGATACCCCTCACACACTAGCCCAGGGGGTGGCCTTGTGGGAAGGTGGAAGGGTCTGCAGCTCTCTGGAAGGCCCCCACGCCCACCTCAAAAGGTCCTTGGCCCACAGAATCAGGACCCAAGACTGAGAGGTCTGAGGGGGCGTCTGTCTAGCCTCTGGCTGGTTCCTGTGGGGAAATCCCTTCTGCCGCTATTCTGACACATAGTCAGCCAAGGCTTGCTTGAATACCCTTACTGATGGGGACCTCACTACCTTCAGAGCTGAGGGAAGAATTTTGAGGAGATACAGTCCCCCACATCAATAATATGGTAGGGAAGATATCCTCAGTCTTGGGAGTGTTCCAGTGAATTCCAGAAGGGGCCCTTGATCGGCCCTGATGGAGAACTCTAAAGCCAGCTCATGCCAGTTCAGGTCCAGCATGGCTTTCCTGCCCTCACCACTCCTCCTGACCGCCCTCTCTCCTACCTCATCGCCTTCCCAGTCTTGGGAGCCTAGAGTGGGGCCAGGGTGGTAGAAGGGCCCCCCCATCTGCCTTCCTTCTTGAAGCTTCCACCCTGAAGCGGGTTGGACTGGGGGAGGGGAGACTGATTTGAAACAGGCTTCTGAGTGTTACTACGAGATGGGCCTGTGCTTTTAAAAAGCAGGTTTTGTGACTAGAAGTGCTAAGGGCCGTGGTAGGCTGTGTGGTAAGTTATGGGGCCTGCCCAGAAGCTGTTGGCGGGGCGGGGAGCGCTGACCCACAGAGCCAGCCTGCGTTGGCAGTGGGGTGCGGGGAGCTTGCACCAGCAAGTCCCGCTCAGTCCACAGACCGGTGACAGTGGTTCCAGTCAGGATCCCTCGAGCACACTGTGCCGGGCAATGTCCTCGGGGCAAGACACATAGCAACACTGTTTTTTTCCCCCATTTTGCAGGTGAGGAAACTGAGGCACAGAGAGGATCTGTAACTCGCCCAAGGCCACACAGCCAGGAAGTGGTGTCGCTGAGATTAGAACCCTGGCAGCCTGGTTCAGATGGAAGGAGAAGAGCTGGGGAAGGGGCCACATCCACCCAGGAAGCCGCTCACAGCAGAGTTTTGTCTTCTCTCTCAGAGTGCAAAGCCGCCTCCCCGCCCGCCCGCACCGCTGCCCACCTCTGGCCTCCACCGCCAGCCTCCTACCTGGAAATCTCCTCCGTGCTCTGAGCTCAGCTGGGAAAAGAACTCCGAGGGGTCTGGGATGTGACACTTGAGGACCTTCTTCAGCCTGGGCAGGGGACAGGAGGGAGGAAGGGTGAGAGCGGGATGGGCCATCGGCACCACGGCTCTGAGGTCGGGGCACGGAGCCACGCCGTTTCGCAGTCGGTCTGGGTGGGGTGCTGCCTATGAAGGGCACTGTGCTGGGTGTCAGGGATGCAAGGATGGCCAAAGAGAGCGTCTCCTCCTTCAAGGAGCTGCATTCTGATGGGGAGACACACACGAAACATGTGTGCCACTCATTCTGTGGAGACAGGAGCAGAGTTCTACTTGAAAGGGGATGCGGGAACCACACGAGCTGGAATGATCAGAGACGGGGACGGCTGGAGCAGAGTGAAGGGGGAGGTTAGGAAGGGGCTTCCTAGTCAGAGCCGCCATGGAGGGTGGTTCAGGTTGTGTACTAGCCAAGGGCATCTAGCTTGGAGTGGAGGGGTGGAGAACAGGACTGAATTCCAGCCTGTGTCCTGTCTGCCAAGCTTGAGTGCCTGTGATTTGTACGCATCTGCCCAGAGAAAGAGGTGCCCTTTCCTGATTTGTGTAAAGGTTCCAAATGGCTGGTAGAGGCCTTCGGAGCAGGGGCTATTCCAGGTGCAGTGAGCAGCAGCTGAGGAGTTAAACAGGGGAGGGAATAGTGGAGAACGGAGTCAGAGTGACAGCCAGGAGGGCAGTCTGGAGGCTGCTGCGGCTGTGCAGGTGAGAGGACCTCTCCTGCCTGGAAACAAGGGTATCCTGCGGAGAGGTGCTTTCCTGGGAAGGCCTGCAGGGAGCTGAGGGAGGCGCCAGGAGTGGAGCAATCCTGGCTTCTTGGGAAGGAAGGAAACCAGGGCTCCGAGGCTGCTCAGAACCACAACCCAGACGGGGTCAGGAGAGTCACATCACTCTCAACTGGTGGTGACCTGGGCAGGTCAGCGTGCTCCTCTGGTCTGTCCTGGCATCAGTCAGGAGGGAATGCCAGCCCCTGCCTCACTGCCTTCCTAGCACAGCAGAGACACAATGCAGGCAGGCATACTTTGCAAACTGTAAAGGGCCGTCTCTCCTCTCGGGGGTGGCAGGGCTCTCATCAGGGAGCAGTAACCCTGGCATAGAAGCACCCCCTCCTCACCCCTCTACCCTCTGCCAGACCATGCTCCACCCAGCAGCCAGAGCCATGGCCAGCAAAGGTCCCACTCCCGTGGAAACCCTCATGGCTATCCAGCGCACAGCCCCACCACCCCACACGTTGCCCAGGAAGCTGATTGCCATACACATGTCCTGGCCCAAGTCCAGTCCTCCTGCCTCCTTCTGTCTCAGCCACACCAGCCTTCCTGTGCTATTTCTAGAATGCTCCTCCCTCCTTCCTGCCCAGGGCCTTTGCACACGCTGCTTTCTCTGCCTGGGATGCTCTACCCATCCCATCTCCCCTCCTTGGTGGGCTCTTCCTTCAGATTTCAACAGTTATCCCTTCTCTCAGGAAATATCCCTGCCCTTCCAGGGTTCCTCTCCCTGTCTGCTCTGATAAAGTCAGCCCTCCATATCAGTGGGGTTGCTTTCATGGATTCAACCCACCTCAGAGAGAAAATACTTGGAAAAAAATAGGAATACAATAAAAATGTAAAGTTTAGCCGGGCTCAGTGGCTCAGCCTGTAATCCTGCGCCTTGGGAGGCTGAGGTGAGTGG